CTTACTGGACGTTTACGTCCGGGGTCGCATCTTTTGTTAGCCACAGAACCCGTTAACTGAAACTTTTGAACCAACTCCAGAACGTATTTTGCATTACAATATTTGTTTGGATAGCGTTGATTAAATAAATTTGCAGTAAGATAAGCATTCTCGCGATTTCTGAAATGAAGAGTTACTATTTCTACCCTTTCAGCAATTGTGTAAACCATAACGATTATGTTGTACAAAATTCATAATAAACAAATAATAATCTTAAATTCTGATTGAATCATTAAGTGGTCGAGCTTAATGCGAACACTACAAAAAAGAACATCTGGAAACAGATAACACATTATCAGCCTTAATTTTATATTTTTTCCTTGCATATGCGGTCCAGCTTCAAAGGTTTTTTTGTTTGTTAATAGTTTGTGTTACTTTTCTTCCGAAATAAATGTTTGTTTAGTTAATAAAAAATGAATGAATTTTTAAAATTTTTTGTTGTCTGTTGTATTCAGAATCGCAAAAACTTTATTGCAGAAGATGTCCCCCTTGAGAATAACATGATCTGTCCGAGCGATTTGCTTGGACAAACACGATAACTCTGTCGTTTCGTTTTCGTTGGCCCACCCTGTATAAAGCCAGACAAGTCATGTAGCACTTTTAGGCTAAAAAGTAAATGTTACACACTGACCAAAAAGTCCAGATTTAAATATCATATAAAATATCTAGCATCTTTTAGAAGTGCAGATATACCAAGGTCAGCAGTACAAAAATCATGAACTATTGATGCCATTAATCAAGCTGCTACCAATTTCAACAAAACTGTGATCAAGAACCTACAGTATATATCAATATATCCATACCAAACAACTTTGGGTGGCAGCAAAGTGGGAGGTCAGATACAGTGAAAAACGAAATGTATATTTCTATTCTGGACATGTGCTTGAATCTTTGGTGGTAGACATTATGTTCATGTTAAAATCTTAACTTTAATAAAAACCGTGTAACCATCTCACAGTGGCGTGCTGTGACATTTGATGATAGGGAAGCTGTGTTTCTGTAAGAAGCCGACATCCAGGGGCAATCAGTCAATTGCGCATCAGTGATGGTCTAGGTTGCATTCGTATCGTTTATTCGATAAGCCAGTAAAAACCGTAGACTTCTCTAAATGCATTTTTAATATCACAATTACATTCCGAATCGCTAGCCAGGATATAAGGCCTACAATTAAAAATAAAATAATAACTTACTCGATGAAATAAAATGTGTGGTGGATGTACCGGTACATACCTGGTACAAAATATTCTTCAATTGTATGAATATACTTTTAAAGAAAATTATAATTAAATATAGCTTTATAGAGAAACGTACATAAAAATAACAAAATATTTTTTACTTTTTAAATCTTAAAACAATCCACTTAGTCAAATAGCTCCCTACGAGTGGCTAATGGATGGAATCAGAGACGGTTGCCAAATTCCCAGGGTGCCGATACCGGTCAATATCAAATACCTCTTTTGTTGCATCACTAGTATATCTCAAAGGATGCGACAGGGCTGTTGTAGATTTTAAATGTTTCTCACCATAGCTGTAAAAATCTAAATATGTTAAACTTAATAGTCATTTGTTTTCTAACTAATTCGTTTTAGGACCAGGTGTCCACGGAAATTTCCAAAATTTACAACTTTTTTGGACACACTCATTGAACTGGAAAATTTTCTGTCTATTACATTAATAAATCAGTCTCCACTGTACTTGGCTAGAGATAGTTCGGTTAAGCTTTTGTTTAAGTAAAATTTCGGCTCTCATCAGGGTTTTGTTTGTCCCAAATTCCCTAATCGCTTGATTATTTACTTAAGTAGAAATAAGTCGAAACCAGTTAATTTGTACTCTAATATTTGTAGTCTCGGGAAAAAAGTGGAAAGAAATTTTTATGACAAACGGATACATAAATCGTAAATTTAAGGAAAATAAATTCTAGAGCTTTTTCTGTACCTCGTGCATCTCTCTCATTCATTAAATTTAGTTGTAAATGACGCTGTCAAAGTAACGGTTAATTTTTTTAACATTATACAAGAATTGTACACTTTTTTTTCTAAATCCCGTTAAAGATGGGACATACGAAATCGTAATATCACTGGTTTAACATTGAAATCCGTGAGTAATATAAAATCGGAGAGCGGAATAAATATATCAAATATTTTAACGGATTTTTTTAAACTCCTGTCAACTATACTGAACTATCGTAAAAACATGCCAGTAAATTCTTATCGGTTGGATTAAGTTATAAATCTACTCGCGATTCACGTAATCGGGCGAGGGCGGCCAAATATCTAGTGGGCAGGCGGCAAACAGCCCAGAACCAGTCCTGGATAGAATTGGATGCAGTATACATGTAGCATCCACCGAAGGTCCTAGGCTTCCACCGGATAAACCGGGTCAGGTTGGTGCTCTCTAAAGGACATTCGCGAATCTGGCTTTTTGGACGCTGACGATACAGCGCTTCCACTCTGCCACCAATATTCGAGTATACAATAGCGATCTTATCTTTTTTTCACGTGTAGTATATAAATTTGTAATAAGATACGTAATGCGGTTATAATAAAATATTGTGCGATTATTTTTATATACCGTATATATATTTTTAATCCTTTATAATTTTAATTATTTAATTGCTCCTTCCTCGGCATATTGTGAAATTTCTGATAGTTGGATAATAAACTGTTTTATTGTAATTTGTCTTTTTAAATTATTTTGAGTTGATATTAAAATTTGTAAAATAGATCGGTAAAATAGGCGAATTTCCTCCTACAACTTCGGTTGTTGTTCGGGATACAGTTAAGATTTTAACAAAGTTCGAGCGAATACGTAATTAGCAAAAAACAAAAAATTGAAATAAAGTGATGAAACAAAAATTATTACAAATATCGTAAATAACAGTTTACAAATGCATATATAGAGATATTTTTTGAAGGAGAGGAAATGGTCTTCGTAATTTGAAATCGATCGAACGCACTGTGCGCGAATGCTCGTGTAAACGCGCGCCATCTATCGTAGGGTAAATGCCAGAAAACTTCGCGGGAGTATTAAAAAACTTCCCAAAGCTTCACAACAATCGGATAAACGGTGTGGTAATGCATAAAGGACAGACACACACACATACATTCATTTTTATATATATAAATCAAATGCCTCATTGCAGAAATTCTTAAGCATCTCTTAATAATTTTCTTTTTTTAAATTATCACGTTTTTTCTGAACGTAAAACAGTGGTGTAAAGAATTCTATCAATTTCAAAGTTTAAGTAGGAACAAATTAAAAAATATATTCTATTCTCGAAAAATAAAACATAAAATAATAGGAAATTTGATAAAAATAAATTACAAATATTTATTTATTTAGCATTCTGGTACAAAGACCCTGATGCGGGGATAGAACAAAACAAAAGTATAAATAACTTTACAAAATAATTTAAACATATTTCACAGATATATCCATCAATTGCAGTAACATAATATATTAATAGAAAATTACACAATTCATAAATCATTCTAAATCAAATTCAACAAAAAACTTAAAGAACTACATGGGAGAACTATCCGAAACAAATTAACAACCAACTAGGTTAAAACTTACCTAGAAAAATAAAAAAACAACAGTTTATATCAATCTTTCAAAAAAAAAAAAAATCGGATAGTCTCCCAAGCAACCACAGGTTAAATAACAGGCAGACCACGCCCCGAAACGAAATTTACATAAAATAACCGCCACTTTCGCTTTAAGCCTAAAAATAAGAGAGAGAAAAGTATTATAAACATTATGAAAAAAACAATTTAATTAACCTTCTTTATAAAAGTAAATACAGTCGACCTCCCTTTAACGCGGTAGATACGTTCCGCTTTATAAGAATTTCGCGTTGTAGGAATCCTTAAATACATGAGCCAATCACAGCCCGGCACGTTTGCAGTTTACGGACTACGGCTGTTTGAAAGGTTTTCTTCCATAAAATTAATCGATTCTAGATTAATTCGACTCAATATTTCCAAAATACGTATAATTTTTTGGGAATAATCCGTATAAACTATACTATAAACAAAAAATTGTAGGATTACTTACCGAGTGTGCACCGTTCGACGTCGCCATTGCTTAAACTTGTTTTCGTCGCGGAGCAGCACACCNAGACCCATTTTGCATAGAAGTTAGTCGGCGTTTGACAGGTGCGTCAACATCACAAGAACAAAGTCAGAGCCCCGAGAGTAAAGAATTTTATTTAGATGCAGAGCAGACGTTATATCATAGAAAGTCAAACCCTGACAGAAATGAAATCTGGGACAGATTAGTAGTGCCCAAAAACATGGTCGAATATGTCTTGAAGATGTTTCATGACATCCCTAGTTCAGGACACTTGGGAGCAAAAAAATTAAAGAAAAAGTTGCAGACGCAATTCTATTGGACAGACATGAACAAAGACATAGATCATTACTGTCAGTCATGCCAGGAGTGTAGTATGCGAAGACGACCTTTGCAAGGACATCAGGCACCCTTACAGATTTTTCCTAGGATTACTAAGGTATTCGAGAGGACGGCCCTTGATATTCAAGGCCCCTTTCCAACTACCCACAATGGCAATAAATATTTATTAGTCTTCGTGGATCACTTTTCTCGTTGGGCCGAGGCAGTGCCATTGCCCGACGTAACCGCAGAAACGGTCGCTAGAGCATTTGTCACGCAAGTAATCTTAAGACACTCTGTTCCTAAGCAGCTACTAACCGATCGAGGCGCGAATTTCACGTCAAAGATGATGCGGGAGGTTTGCGAACTTTTGCGGATAGAGAGACTGCTCACCACCGCTTACCATCCACAATGCAATGGGATGGTGGAGCGATTAAATAAAACTTTGGTAGATATTTTGACGCATTACACAGATGTAGACCAACGCAATTGGGACGAGATGGTCCTGTTTGCACTTTTCACATATAACACCACTGTGCATTCTAGCACAAATGAGACACCTTACTATTTAGTGTATGGGAGAGATCCCGTGTTTCCATTCGATGTGGTCACCGAACCTAGCCGACCTAGTTACGATGTTAGTGAGAACTATGCGAGTGAACTGAGGTCGAGGTTAGCTTTAGCGCATAGATTAGCGCAGGAACATGCGGAGAAAGCAGCGCAGGACAGAAAGGTGTACCATGATCGCAAAAATAAACCCCATAAGTTTTTACTAGGCGACCGAGTATTTGTGACGGAAGTAGTAGTCCCTACAAGGTTAAAAAGGAAGTTAGCACCTAGATGGCAGGGACCGTATAGGATAATAGCGGAGACCAGTCCAGTCGACTTCGTCGTCCAACATATCCTTACGGGAAAGAAGTTACACACACATGCAAATAGAATGAAACCTGCTGTCGCGCGAATGGAATTCAAATCCTTCGCCACCGACGAGCTTAGTCCTGAGACGGAGAAAGCTGAAACGTCAACATCGGGACAACCCGTACCCGATATCATAGACCCCTGGGATGAATTCATCCTAAATTCGATACAACCCGATCAGGCAGAGTCAGCGGAAACTGTAGAAATTAGTCAGCACGCGACCGCGACTCAACCGTCTCACAGATACGCTTTGAGAAGTCAGGGACCCGCAGACGAATATCCTTGGGTACTGCCCAAAACACATAAGCTCGGGCAAACGGTTGAACCTCTCCACCGGAACACAGATGAGGGAGGCGCGTCAACGTCCCAAAATCATGATCAGGAGCGCTTGCCGCCGCCTACACCCGTCGGGTTATTTACCCAATGTAAATGGTGAGCTCTTCGGAGGGGAGAGGTCACCANGAGGGAGGCGCGTCAACGTCCCAAAATCATGATCAGGAGCGCTTGCCGCCGCCTACACCCGTCGGGTTATTTACCCAATGTAAATGGTGAGCTCTTCGGAGGGGAGAGGTCACCATGCGAAACGGGGAATGTGTAAAATCTAAACCTGTCGATAAAGTACGGTGGTCGTGAAACGGAACTAATGTTTGTAATTACTTTTCATTTTAGATTATGAATGTAAACCTGATGGCGATCCAGGTTGTGGTGATCGCCCTGACCCTCGCTGCGGAAATTTCCATGATTGTGCCACCTTTGACAAAGGGGATAATATTCCTCCCTCAGGGAAATTTTCTTATGACTACCAGCCAATGGACGATCGCGATAGAAATTTCGTTTGAGGAGTACGATAAACATATCATCGATTTACGATACCAGTTGGATGCCCTTTCACCTATTATTAGAAAGGCCATACGGGATAAGGAAGACCCTCTAAGACCCTTATGGACGTTGGCCGAGGTAGAATTGGACAATATAAATCGGGAAATGGGGGAGTATGAAAAGGAGTATAAGGACTTGAAAGCTACGGTTACAGCTTCCGCTAATCCTCGCACAAAACGGGGACTGATAAATGTAGGAGGGAAAATACTAAAGTTTTTATTTGGAACCGCCACCTCGGAAGAAATTGAGGAGGCGAACAAGAAGATCGACGACCTGGTAACAAACCAGAAAAAGATAGTTCACATTTTGGAGGCCCAAACGACGGTGTTAAATCAGACGCTACAAGCCGTGAAGGACAACAGAAAATACATAGATATGATGATACGAAGGCAAAGCTATTTAGATAAAACCCTTCAGACCTTTAGTTATACGTTCTTTGTTAGTACGGCGCTTAGGGGCGTGGAAGGCGCTTTGGCCGAATTTAGGTCAAGCATAACCGATTTGCGACAGGCCATAGAGATGCTGGAGCAGGACCGGCTCAGTTCCTACTTCCTGTCCAAATCCCAATTATTACAAGTGCTAGGGGAAGTCACTAAACAACTTCCTAGCGGGATATCCTTAGTGGAACCGATAACGGAGGACAATGTTTTTAAGTATTATCAGTGGATGACAACAACGGCGGTGGCTCTGCCCCACACGCTTCGAATCTTCGCTAGGTTCCCTCTGATGACACCAGAAGGTTATTTTGACGTATACGAGGTCGTGAAGTTTCCAGCATATTTCCCTCTAGTACAAGCCTTCGCCTATTACCAGGTGGAGTACCCGTACCTCGCTTTGTCTAAAGATCGCCAGTTGTATATGTTATTGGACTCGCATGACCTTAGGAAATGTCGAGGAGGATTGACCAACATTTGTTCTCCAGAAGTAGCAGTTTGGCGACTCCCGTACCACGCGTGCGAGTACGCTCTGTTTATGGCCGACGAACCGAACGTCGATCGCTTGTGCAGGAGAAAGGTGTTGAGTTTCCCGAAACCTATGTTTCGACGGATAGATGAGAAAGGCACCTGGATATATTCAACCCCGGCTCCTTTGAATTTAGTGGTGGAGTGTGGTAGATGGACCTCGACTTCCACATCTCGGATTCAAATGATAAAATTAAATAACACTGGCATATTTAGGCTACCGATGTCTTGCACGGGCCATATACCGGGAGTCAAGTTGACCTCCCACTTTCAATCAAGGCTGACTTTCAAGATCGCTATCCGAAATCCGTATGTCATTCCTGCCATTCAAAATATTTTGAACGATACGGAAACTCGGCTACTCCAACGATATATAAATGATAATGTGTCGGGGAAGTTCCCCACAACAAGGACAGCGATTGGTCATTGGAGTTAGTCGGTAGGGAGTTGCGCGATATATCAAAGGATATCGAAACCGTCCGAACCGACGTTTTTCGAGACTCCCATGCCTTGTTTGAACCTAATCGACCCGGGCTTTATATCGCATTAGTCGCTATGGGAATGATAATTCCTGCCTTAGGGGTGATAGTGTGGAAGTGTCGGAGACAAAGGCGTAGGCGGGGAGGCTTCCTGAGGGGAAGGCCAACAAGCACCCCCAGACGGTCTCGAAATAAGGAAGTTATGCCGGTGGAAGCCATAGAACTTATGCCAGTAAAAACAGACGTTGTGAAGGAATTTCGAAGAGAACCCACAGCAAATACCATCGCGGCGCCCCCTACGCCGTATCCGGAGCAAGAAACAAAAAGGGGAATAGAAACCTTACCATCACAACTACGATGGCTATAAAAAGAGCGAAAAAAAAAAAAAAAACGAACTGCGGGGAAGAGAGGTGAACGGCTTAAATGGCTCGCTACTATATTTTGTTTTTCTTTTTTTTGTAGAATTCTTCCAAAATCAGAAGGAAAAGAGATGGAAGAGAGTCTATTGAAGGTAACAACCGTGAGGAAGAGAAGACACCCGCCTCTCCTACGACCTTAAACGAGGATCCAACGATTATCTCCTTGATGGAGTGTCCAGTGTGTTACGAGAACTTGGCGGCCCCCATTTTTCAATGCATGGCCGGTCATCTCCTGTGCGGCAGTTGCAGGGGACGAGTACATCAGTGTCCCACTTGTCGGGGATATCTCGGGGAGTTAAGAAACCTCGCAATGGAGAAGATGGCGGAGGCTATAGCTCTTCCCTGCCGGTTTAAGGATAATGGCTGCCAAGTTGTACAGAAATTGCAAAAGCGAAAGATTCATGAACAGCATTGTCTGTACCGGACATGTGAGTGCCCTTCCTTGGATCCAACTTGCTCCTGGGAAGGGGCGTTCCAGTCCTTAGTGGAGCATCTCCGTGACCGTCATAGTTCGATGGTCTCGGTGAAAGCCGGGTCCATAAAATTATCGCTAGTGGGCCTGGATTCGACTCATCCCTTGTCGTGGGCTACTCGGATGACTTGTCACGGACATGAATTTGTTATCCAGGTCAAGAAAAGTGAGACGGAGGGTAACCGTGGCCGTATAAGTCTCCTCATTCGCTTTGTGGGAAGCAAAAAGGGAGCGAGCCGGTTTCGAAGTTTCCTCTTAGTAGGAGGAAAAGGAAAGGCTCTAGCATGGAATTCAGCTCCCAAAAGTGTCATGGAGGAGACGAGAAAAATTATAGAGGAGGAAGAATGTTTAACAGTGTCCACCAAATTTGCGAGTCAACTTATAATAAGCCAAACCTTAAGTATTGTGGTCTCCGTGGAACCCATTGGTTCCTAAACTGTCCAAGGGACCCTTTTCCAAGGGACCGAGGACAAGAAAAAAAAAAAAGAAATAAAGAAAAATAAAATAAAGGGGAGAAGAAAAAGTAATTATTTGTTTTTTTTTGGCTTTCATATAGAATGGCAGGGAGAGCCCGACGCGGACAATCCAGAGATAGAATGCCGCGAATGGTCGTCACGGAACCCGCGTGGGACGACGATTGGGAGATACCCCATACCATTCTCTCTGGAACGGGCGAATGGGAAGAATCCTTCAACATACCCGCTAACGTGGAAGCGATAAAGCAAGCCCTCCAAAAGACCCGGCAGGTTAATGAAGAAACTGACCAAACACCCGAATTTATGATACTACCCTGGCAAATGGACGTCCCGACTACATTGAAGGAAGAAATTCTACAACTGAATCGAGAAACCGCTCGCCGCGTAGAAGAAGGAGAGGGAGAGAGCGATAAAATGGGCCTCGCCCGGGGAGAACAAGCAGATCAGGAAGAGAAACCTTTAGACCAGCCCACCGCTGAAACAACAGCCGAACCTGGCGCAATGGCGCCTCGGTCAGAGGCTGTGGGGGAGCTCCACGCTTCAAGTGCTGAGCGAGGTGGGCGGAGGAGAAATAATGGATTCGGAAGCTGGTCGGAAACGTCTTTGGAAGAGCGGAGGTGGGCAAGAGGAAGGGCTAGGTCCTTCCCTCCGCGACCTCCCAATGTCCGGAGATAAAATGAAAAAAAAAAAGGAGGGGTACCTTTACTCTCCAAGCTCCTAGGACACGCCAGTCAAGAGAAAAATCGTTACTAGGGGAAAAAAAAGGAGGGCAAGAAACTAGAGAATGTAATCATCGTAAGGGGAAAATATTTTAAGTAGTTAGTAAAATTGTAGTTGTTAGACAGAATCTAGTTCTCCTATGGGCTCTGGTGACGTGAAGCACCCGCCACTTTAGGGTGGAAGGGAATGTAACTACATCTAAGAGTGTGAAATATTCTAGTTGTACCTGCTAATTGGGTGAAACATTGTGATCACTAGAGACGGTAGATAGGAGAATATAAATATATATTATGGGATTTTTTCTGTTAAATTTTTGGTTTAATAAATGTAATCCTTGCCACGACCACCGTCTTCTCTTGTTGAATGTGACGCGACACCTTGCGGCTCGATGGTCACGCGATTGTGAGCTAGCAGTTCATTATCCGATCCCGGGTGGACCTCTCCGTTGGAGGGGACGGCCCCAAGGCACCAAGGCAACAGTTAAAATGTAGCATCAGGTGGCTACATTTTAAACAAAAGGGGGGTGCCCTGTGAGGACCCAAACGGGGTCCGAAAGCAGGCCAATAACGACTTTTTAAATGAGTCAAGTTTCGNATATTTTGTATAAGAGTCGTTACTTCAAACTTAAAACTTTCAATTTCACTTGTGAATTCGTACTTTTTAAAATCTTTGCTATATTTAATAGCGAGATCTGCAGCTGATTTTTTTTTAAATCAGCAACACTCGTGTATCGTAAAGAAGAGCCATAGAGAAAGCAAAAATCAGCCCTTTTTAGTAGCATTTTAAAGACCACGGGGGCCCCTTCGAGGCCGCATAGTTCGTTTACCGCTTAATCCACCGTTGAGGTATACAACACATATGCGTATCACTATAAAGCAAAAAGTTATGTCAGAATTTCTGCACGCCTTTTACAACCTCGAGACTAAGATTTTATTCGAGAGTTACTACGTTTTCTATTTAGCAATTTAGCAATTAAAAAATCCCCAGGTAGATTTATTTTTCTTACAAAATGTTACATTTACAGATTTATAGCTCTGCACACTGTAGAAAAATCTAGAAATACAGTTTTGTATATCGTAATAATATTAGTCGTCGCCAGAGAGCTCTATAAAGTAGAGAAAAAGCTATAAATTTAAATTTCTCAAAAAATAAATACACAAAATTTCAAAAGTCGCTACTTTTGGCTAATTTGTCTGCGGTCTCCACTATCTCCCTACGTCCCTCTAAAAGTCGCCACGGTTGGGAACACTGGTGAGCAGACATCTAGGGTCTAAATAAGGCAAAATGTAATCGCCGATAAAAAGGAGGAAAAATTTAAGATTTAAAACTGTAATTTCTTGTGAACACCAGTTTGGGCCCCCTTCCAAGTGGGCCCTGTGCGAATGCCCCTGTGGCACCTGCCTAGTTACGGCTCTGACCAGAAACCCCAGCGCCACTAATCGTTGCAATTACTGCCCGACCAAGAAAGATGACGTTAAACACCGCTTGGATGCCTGCCTCCAGGGCCGCCGTAAGCGGGCGTGCAAGGCGTGCACCGCACGCGGGCGGCACGTCCAGGGGGCGGAAAAGAGCCTTTCTGGCAAGCTCAGCATAGGTAATCGTAGTTAAACAGGGGGCGGCATAATCGGTATTGCACACGGGCGTTCAAACAGCTAGCGGCGCCCCTGCCTGCCGCATTTTTGATACTGCTCGAATCTCCATCATACAGACTTCCGCCTCTACCAATCATCACATTAAAACCATTAGCGAGTGCCTAGCCCACCTTTAGCATGTGTTCAAGTCATAACAGATTTCTTCCGCGCCTATACCAGGATTTACACATTGTAAGTGCCCATGTTAGATATTCACATCCCATATGATCTTTCCCGGGACGACATAGTTTCGCAACAGACGCAATCATGGTTTCTCCGGGTCCGAAAAAAAACGGGGCGAAATTGTCATATATGACGCCTAACCATCCCGCCAGAGGGCGGGCAAGCAATAAAGCAATTTAAAAAAATAATATTTATTCATATTAATTTATACATATGTGAATATTTTAATATTTATCAATAATAAACTTACATCATAAAAATTTATTTACGCTTAAACACTTGAAGTTTTTATTTTATATCAAAAATGTACCAATAAGCTTTCGAGTCGATCGGTGATGCCGAAAATGCGCGGGAAGTTCTAAGTATTCACGTGTTTTGTGGCGCGCAAATTGAATTCGGGAAGCTACTATCAATTAGTCGACGTTAAGATTAAGAGAATGGCTCGTACTAAAGCCGATAGTTGTTCTAGGAAAGGTAAAATTAGTTTTTATAATTAATTTATGTTTTATTTTTATAAATTGTTTAGATTTTAATGAACTTGTTTCTGTAATTTCTAATTTTGGTGTATCCTAATTTAGCAGGGTGGTGATTATTGTGGCATTGTCTCTGAAAGGTTCATTGTGGAATTGCCTTTCTGGCCTCGAGCAAGATAATTTTTGTCGATTTTTACCTTAGTTTTTACGGTATTAAATTATCGGTTGTTTTTGAACATTGATATAGATTTTTATTTAGGAAAAAATCAATTATAAACTTTGCATTTTTTTTTAAAGACAATAAATAAGTAAGCATATTATAAGAAATTTTGATGGAGGGTTTTGTATATGTATGTTAGTAAAAGAACAATAACTTGATTATTATGCAAGACTTGCAACATTGCATATTGAACAAGGTAAATTATCTAGGAAGAATGTTCTCATGCACTCAAATATCACACTTATCACTGGCAAATGTGATCACACATTGGATGTAATAATGTTTTTTGTCTATGCATAGCAATGAGTTTGAGAAAGGAAGAAAGTAGAGCTGTTTTGCTTTTTGAGTGCAGAGGGAGTAGGATAATCTGAAATTTGTTGACAGATACCTGCAATATATGGTGTGAATAGCATATTGCTGACAACTATTATGAACTGTAGTAGGGCTTTTGAAAAGGGCAAACTTTGTTGGTGGACAAGACTTGGACATATCAACTGATGAAATGATTAAAAGTGATACCATTTGAAATTGTTCAAAAATCATTTAGGTATATCATTTTTGTAATAGTTTCTGACTGATTCAAATGATACTAAGTGCATTTCTAAACAGTTTTATAGAAGTCAAATTGGGCCATCCATTAAGTGTTCAGTTTAAGGTGGTGTTGTAGAAAGTACATTATTACACACAACAAGGAGGGTGTGGTCAAAGTGGCTTAAAAACTTTACATGAATGGCTGCAATCTTTAACAATAAAAATTATTTTTGAAATATTTTCAAAGGCTTCTGAATGTCAATTGCAACATATCATTTGACATTAGTTGATATCAAATATTAAAAAATCAAAAATGCACAAAACATTTTAACAGGTGAGAGAACAAGTATTATTTGATGTCAAGTGTTGTCATATCATTTGAAATCATCTATCAACACATGCTTTTACATTTTTTTCTGTAAAATCTGATATTTTCATTTTCTTGCATTTTTCTAAGGAATCTTTAAAAGAAGTTTAATCCTTTTATGTAGTAACTTTTAATTTAATCTATAAAATCCAAATACTGCGACAGTTTTTCAGGTTCATTTCAAGCACCAACATTGTCAATGGTGACACCTGATTTATAGGAAAAATGGAACAGGAAGCTAGGACAAGGAAGAAAAATTGTACAATCAGTGTTGATTAAAGAAAACTGGGCAAAAGGCACAAAACAACAATAAAAATTTTGATATTCTAAAATCTGTGGGCGAATTTGAGACATGCATGCTTGCTTGAATGGAAAAATATTGATCGATGATTGTGCTTAAAAATTGTGACATTTTGTATGAGGATGTCTCCAATTATTTGATCTTGAATTTCATTATGAATATAGACTATGAAAGTAAAGCTCATTGAGCCTTTTTCTAACAAAAAATTTAATCTTTTAGCAGTTGCAGCAAAGGCTCCAAGGAAGGTGATGAGTTCTGGTGCATCTACTTCAAAAGTAAAATCAAGTATGTAAATTTAAATGATAATTTTACAGAATGATGAAAAACAGATTACTAAATAAAAAAAATTTTCAGACAAATCATCTGGACGTTCTCCCGGAAATCGTTATTGTCCGAGACCCACTCCTCCTTGGCAGAAAGAAATTAGTAGATTTTTAGTGAAGTCTCCAAGAGATTCAGATGAACAGGATAATTCGGAGATTTCAAGCAGTTCCTCAGCAACAGAGTGTTTTAGGTAATTATGCAAAATTTCATAAAATGTTATTAAGTTATCAGTGATTAACTTATCTTTTGTTGCAATGATGCTATATTTTCTTGATTCTAAGATGCACCATGAATCAGAGATACAATTTGAATTTTTTTTTTTATAAAGGAAAAATCTTTAAATAATTAAGTTTTGTTAAGTAACATGTTAAAAAAACAATACAAATTCCATGAAATGGGTGTTTGGTGTTACTCTTTTCGTGCATTATAATGTCTTGAAGCATGGCCTACGATAACTGCCGACTATACCAATTTCTTCCCAATGCTAACTGTCAGGCTTGTTTCCACAAGTGATCACATGATGGCATTCACAGTTCAACTCTTAATCTAAATTTAATGATAAAGTTTTATGGAAATCTTGCAAATGTTTTAATTTTAAGAAACTCTACTACATATGTGGTGCAGGAATTTTGCATCTTAAGAAAAACGTACTTTATTTTAAAGCTATATTAAAAAATTATTAGCCCGGATAGTATTTTCCATTTAATTGCAGACATTTCAATTAATTAAAATTAAGTTTTGTAAAAATTTTATAAATTTGCAGATTTTAAAACTAATTATCTACAAATTATGTAGCCTGAATATGATCTATTTTTAAGTCAAAAGTACTGTATTAGCATTATTAAATTTATGCTGGTTATATGATGATTTCATAATTTAAATATAAATGTATTAAATAGAGGATTTTATTTATTTAAGTAAAAATAAATGCAAAGATCCTCAGTTTGTGCTTTCATTCATTTTTTGGCAATTTAAAATTTATATTGGAAGTGATAAAAACCAATAATGTATTGTAATCTAGCAATAAGATCTTATTTATAATAAGAAAGTAATAAAAGAAAAAAGTTTAATCAGTGAAATGTCCATTATTTAAAGGTATAATTTCCATATTTCTTGTGGGTTTACTTTTTGCTTGCTTATTTTGCCTGTAATAGTTAACTAATCATGTCTCGGTAATTAATGGTAAATACTGAATTGAATTTCTAAAAAGTAATTCTACGCAACAGTTCTTTTCTATGTTTCGTCACACCCAATTGGTGAATTTTTCATTATGTGGCTGCATGTTGCAAAGAATCTACACAGCTTTGCTTTTCTTTAAAACATGATGCAAAGTGGAATTAATTGCATTTTAATCTTTACAAAGTAAGCATAAATGCTGGCTTTAAATACTTGAGTTCTTAAAAATCAATCCTTTTTTTTATGAGAAATAGTGACTGGATCTTGATTATTAATGATTATATGACAAATGATTAGCTTCAGATGTGTCTTCATTTTTATTTGTGACAGTATTCTGTTTTTCATTATTCATTAGTGAAAACTTCTGCATGGTCCACCTGGGACGTGACAACTTGATTTTCCTATATGAAGGACAATCAAAAACAAAAATGGTTCAGAATAGGGTCGTTATAGTGCGGGTTGTTGTTTTCTGTCCAAATTTCTTGCCTTTAGCCTTATTTTCTACCTAAATGACAGCAATTGGCATTAACAAGTAGGCAATTCAATCTAGCAATATATTTCATTAAGTGAGCTGGACAGGTAGAGAACATTTGGTATAGTGGTAGTTATCATAGGCTGCACTTAAAGGCATTTTAAGCATTAAAAAGCAGCATATAAATTAAACAAATGTTATCAGAAAAGCTTTGTAATGTGAACATTGAGCAATATACCAAAAAAACTTCTATTATTGTTGCTTAATGTACCCCACGTGGTCTACCCAATGACTGCTGGGCCATCAGTGGCCAAGCGATCTTCATATCCTGAACACTGGGAGTTTGGTCATGGGTTTGCACCTCGCTTGGACGGGTTGGCCACGTGGAGTTTTCTCCACATCTGTAACACCTAAATAGAGGCCAGTTTCCCTTAAAAAAAAATCTGGAAAGAATTCCCCTAGACAGATCACCCAAGTATTGCATTGCCATAACTTAACAAACAACAACATAGCAAACAACTCAAAGACTTCTTATTGTTTTGAATTGCAAAACATAAGGTAGGGGAAGAGTGGGAGAAATGGGACTCTTTTGGGAAAATTTGTCAAAAACATAAGCAAAGAAAAAAACTCTTGAATATTTTTCAGCTTGTTAGTTTGAACCATCTGTATCTTCTGAAAAGTATTGAAAGTTTCAATGCTAACATTTGGTAGAAAAATTTATAAGTTTTGTATACTGTGACAAGTGTCCCACTCCTTCCTAATAAAAGGGAGGAGTGGGACAGTTCATAAAAGGATAACGAATTCACACAAAATTTGTATTAAAATACTTATTTAGCAAATATAAATAGTTATTACTGATGTGTGTATCTGTACAATGTTAGTTTTTCTGAGATAGTCATACTATCAGCACAAGGTTTTACTTTAAAGTACAGTATCTTATAGTATTTTACAACAGTATTTTCTTGAAATGCTTGATTTGAGGTATTAAAAAAAATTTTATTACATGATTATAAATAAACAATTTATTCAGAATACTGTGAATCAACATTTAACTGAGAACATGATAATGAACCAACAATCACTGCAAATGTTTATTGGACATTGTATGCAAATATATTAATTTATTTTTTATAAATAGATTTCACAGTTTGTCCAAGAAGTTGTCAATATTCTTTTTATTGACGCTAGTAGTACTTTCTAAGCCAGTGGCTTCTGGTGATTGCAATGAAAGCTGTGAATGATGTCCCATAAACCCCTTGAACCAGTCATATCCTGCAGTTTTATTGAGATTCCATGCACTGGGATATGTTTTATTGAAGACAGCGGTAAACTCATATGTCAAATTTCTTACCTGCACTGTAGTGCATTTTATGAATACTTGCACTAAGCAAGTAATTTCTTAACTTTGCTTCTTCCTCCACAGAGAAAACCATTCCACAAATGATGTTAGACTAGAATACTACAGACTCCTTGTTTGAAATGCTATTAAATTTTTTTACATGTTTTGCTAGTGCTGATTTTGATAAATTCATGGCTTTTGCAACTTTCCTTATACTTCCCTTGTCACACACCATGTTCACTGCTTGAAGAATCATACTGTTGGCTGGTATTGATTTTGTTGGATCTTTCTTCTTCCATTTATGTGGCATTTTTCCTGAAAATAAAAACAGACTATAAAATTTAACACCACATCAGGAAAATTATTAGGGAGAAGTAGGAAACTGTCCCATTCCTCCCCATTATGTCCTCCCTACTGGGAGGTTTTGTATTATACTTGCTATAAATAGACATATGGTGGAAATAGCAAGAAAGTAATATAGCAAAATTGTACTATTAAAATATTCCTTTCAATTCTTGTATTAAGCATTAAAAGTTATCTTAAACATAAAATTTTAGATTACATCAGATATTGGTATTAATATTTACCTGGAGTATTGTAATGTAATTTTCTCTTCTAAAGCCTCTTCTGTTGAAACAATTTATCAGCCATTTTATAAAAAAAATACAAGTGCTGTCACTCTCACTTAGGAACAAATAATTACAATAAATAAATAGATCAGAAAATTTGAGTGTCCCACTCCTCCCAGTTTCCCATTCCTCCCTTGTCTCCCCTACCTCTAATTTTAAAAAGTGAAAGTGGGTTTAAAAAAAAGTGCATTTTAAAATTGAGAAAATACAATAAAAAACATTTATCTTTGGATTTATTTATTTATAATTTTATTTTAAAGCTTTTACAAAGCTTATTTGAATTTTGGCAAATTTTTTTTTATAGTGAACCTAATGATCTCAATGAATCTGGTCCAAGCAAAAGTTATCAAGTAATATCTGAGGAAAGCGATTAAGATTTTTTGTTTTTAACCGATATTTTAATTAATGTACATAATAAATTTTTGTTTAGATTTGAATTCTGTATAATTGAAGTTCTTTTGAACTACAGTATATAATTTCATTTTCATAATAGATCATCTGTACATTCTTAATCAGTTAAGCAACAACATATATCTCAAACTTAGACAATGAAACCAAATAAAAGCAATATGATACAGATAAATTTATTAAGAAAATTAGTTTTGTATAAATTATGACATTCATAATAAATTTTATTTCAAAATGAAGTTTTCCTGGAATATTTAAATAATTTTTTTTATTCTAAAGTTTTTAGAAATGGTACATTTAATATTTTAAACGCAAAATATGGGTATTATAAAAAAAAATGGCAAAAGTAATAATTTTGATTTTTCCATCAGTGGAAATGATGTAATTCTGGTTCTGTTTGTGACAAAAATCCTGTCCTATTTTAAACATTTCTCAACTGATGGAATATTTCAGTATTATGCATACATACTGCAGGAAGACAGTTTGAACATAAGCTTTCCATATGGTTTAGGTCAGAACTGTGCACTGATGTTACTTTTCTATTACCATAATGTGATTTTAATGAATGTATTGATGCATTATTGTGCTGTATACTCCAATCAGGACAATCAATTTCAACATCTCTTAATACTTTTTGAAACATTTTAGATGTTTAGCAAAAGTATAAATGGTAATTTCACACCACTTAAGCTAAATATGCCCTGCCATTATCAAATAACAGTGTGTAGTAAAATGAGTGCAGTACCTATTTGGTACAGTGATTTCCAAAGTGGGTGGCACCTCAGGGAACAATGGGATTATTTGAGTGAACATCAAGGGTGCTGGAGGACATACAACTACCGACACAACAACAGATATTGAGAATGGAGTCAATCACTACTGTTTTTTTCATTAGTGCAAACTTTCAAATTTGTTTTAAAAGAAATTCATAATACCAGTATTATTCAATTTGGATATAATGGGTACAAAGATATGACTAAGCTATTAATGATAGACTGAAATAATGTATATACAGGATGTAAGTTTTGTTACAATTAATATCATGTAGCTCCATCCAATGTTTTAGGAATAGATTCTGGGGTAAAAAATGAAGCTTAGAGACAACAATCTACATGATTTAAGTCAATAACTGACATTCATCTTAATTTTGCTGTTTATATGCATTAGCCTTTAGAGCAGGGGTGTCCAACCTTTTTGTTTCTCTGGGCCGCATTGGAAGAAGTCAAGGAGTTTTGGGCCACAAGTATATATAATATATACTTGTGGTCCAATATATAAGTACAGTATATTTAAAAATTAACGTGTCTAGATTATAATAATAAGTATTAAAACTTTATCAAGAAAAAAGGATATTTTAAAAAATTACTTCTACAGACACTTTCAATTTTTACTTAGAAATAGATAAATTCATTTATTATAAAAGAGACTAAAGAAAATTTATTTGAAAAACACAAATATTTGTTTTATTTGGGTCTCTAATTAATAAAAAGCGACGAAACACCATTTTAAAGTGCATTTTTATTCAACTAATATAATTATAAATAATATGTAGCCCAAAAAGTAGCCAAAGCGCCAAATGATATTTTTTACGTCAAACAAAAAAAAGTAGCCACATTTGGCGCAATGTAGCCAAATCTTGCAACGTTGGAAAAAATACTAAATAAAGCTGGAGTTGTGAATCAAAGGATTATAGACCCAAGTGCAGGAAAAAGAGACAAAGGACAAAAGATAAAGAAGTGAAAAAGTTTGAAAAATTACGGATCCGTATTTACTTGACAGAAGATCTATTTAACCTTTCTCACTACTACATCTTTTGTTTTTCTCATCTTTCCCTCCTTTTCCGAAATTTGGGTCTATAATCTTTTGAGTCACAACTCCAGCTTTATTTAGTAATCCTTCTGCATTCACACATCTCCAAGTATTTGAAAATATTTTCTTTCCACTCAAAAATAAAATATGAATAAAGATTTACGGCTTTGTGAAACTTCTTTTTTGAGTTTATGCCATTGAAATAAATAAATAATAATAAATTAAAACATTTGTTGGTTTTCTTTACACGTTTATTGGGCCACATGCGGCCTGCAGGCTGGACACCCCTGCTTTAGAGCACATTCACACAATTGACTTAGTTGCACTACAAAAAAAAAATTGCTAGTTACTGCTTCTTGCAATTAATTGCATACCCAACCACATGAGTGACAATATGTAGCTGTAACACTGTAAAATGTAGCTAATTGTAAACATTCACATGAGCTACAAATTGCAACTGCAATTAAGATACACCAACTTTTTCCAGTTTTCAGTATGAAAATGATTTTGTAGAACTTGTATTTTGCTTCTTGTGTGGCTTTGTAAGAAAAGAATATTGGGTTCACCCATTGGTAGACTGGTAGCTACTGAAGGGGGCAGTTTCATAAAATATATCATGATTTAATTAATGCGAAACAACACACACATTCCCTAGATCACATGATTGTGATGACAGACGAATATATTTCAAACAAAAAAAAAATAAACAGAGCACATGGCAGTTACAACAAAGTAATCGCCTGTTTGTTTGGACTTGTCTAACATTGTGTGTTCCATTGGTTGCGACTGCGACTAGAATGGAATATGTTACCTTTTTTGTCGCAGTTACTAAACAATCATATAGTTGACTGTTGAAGTACTGTTCTATCAGGGTAATTCAAAAGTTCCTGGACACTGATAACACTGCTATGAATGGGAATGAGTTAGTATGTGCTTTGATGATGACACAAGTATTATCATTTTATAGAGCTGTTGCATTCATTCCTTTAGTAAATATTGATTTCCACAAGAAAGAATGATTGATGAAAATCTTATCATTTGAGGCATTTTGCTTCATTACTGGAAACAAGGGTTCAGGGGAAGGCTGGCTGCAGAGAAAATTTGTGAAATTGAAGGCCTAGACCTGATGGGTAAAACTATTACAGCTGAATAATTCTGCCATTTCAACTCTGGGAATACCAGCCTTGTAGACAAGGCTGTCTGGATGACCTCAACCATTGATAATGATGCACTATTACAAGCTGTTGAACAAGAACCAGGCAGCAGCATTCATCAACTGTTTGATGAACTCAGGGCTTCACAATGAACCATTGTTCAGCATTTGAAATGCCTTGGCTTTCACAGCAGTAGCCCTCGAAGTACCACATGAACTGATGGAGCAACAGGCACAAAGGATGATGAAACTTTGAAATCATATGTTGCAAAATCCAAAAAATGATATGTTCTGGTGCAGGATCATAATGGGAAACAAGAAAATTGACCTTTTTCAGAAATCCTAACAGGGAAAACCAGTGGTTATGTCCAATTGTGAAGTTCCAGCACAAGTGGTTCAACAAGGACAGTTCAAATGAAAAGTCATACTGTGCACTTGGAGAAATTTGGATGGTCCAGTGCATTGGAGCTGGTTCCTAATGACTGGGCCTTGCATGGCAACCTCTATGCTGAGCAACTGAAGTGGATGTTTGAAGTCCTGCGCATTTGCTATTCAGCATTGCTTAATCAAAAGTGTACACTACTATAGCATGATGCTTCCGGCACAGCATTCCAGAGTGGTCCAAGAAAAGTTAGAGGTGCTGGAGGGATCAAAGTTTTGCTTTAGCCAGCACCTTACTCCCTCAGATTTTTACCTCTTCTGGTTGTTGACACATTTTCTGCAAGGACATTCCTATATTGAGATGCAATAGAGTGCATGATGTTCAAAATGGGGTTTGTGAGTTTTGACATCAAAACCAGCCAAGTGGTATTGCCGAAGATTCCACCAACTTGCAGAAAGATGGGTTGAGACCATAGATAATAATCACCTTTATTTCAAGGGAATGACCATGTCTTTTGTGTTTTAGTATCAATAAAGTTTCAATGTTCCCAGACACAAGATACAAATCAACTTGATAATTTCAACAACCTTTTTATAGCAGTGACAAAGTGATTAAAAGTTGCTCGTGTGAATGTGCCCTTGGTCACAAATATTAAATATAAGAATTTTTTAAGAATCAAAAGTATATCAGATAAATACTTGGTGATATTCAAAACACTTTTTCATGAGCTGAATTTTTGGGTGTGTAACACAGCAAATGTTTTTAATTGCTTTTAGCAACCATTGTCAAGTTAAAGAACTTACTCAGAAACACACAAAATGGAGAAAAAGACAAAAAAAAGAAATCAAATAATAAAGAAATTATTGTCTTTTTTTAATTGGCTTGTCATTTGTGAACTTTTTAAACAAACTGTTTTGCATATTTTTGCAAAGGCATAGCCTCTAAAAAGGTTGTCTTTGCAGTCGGATATTTGTTCCCAGTGATTCGACATGGCAAAAATCGACATAAAAAATTACATAGAAAAGACTGAAATTGTAAATTCATCAGCCATTTTTTGAAAGAAATCCTTATTGAATATTCTGATAAATTCAGTTGTTGAAATTTTGTTTACTATGATTTCCTAAATATAAGCTGTAGGCTGGTTTTTAAAGTCAATATGAAAGTAGGTGCAGATTGTGTTCTAACAACTTTCATGGATTATATATATAGGAATTAGGTAAATAATAGCAAGATTTTTGTGAATTACCATAATTTTATAAATTGCATTGTTTGAATTTAAATATATGATAGATACATATCTAATTTTAAACAAAAGTTGAGAATTATTTTTACTTTATCTCATTTTATTTATTGATTTTGTTCAACTTTTTGCATTTAAAGTTTTGTAAAAAGTAATGAATTCATAACACACAAGAATATGAAGGAATGTACCAATTTATATATTTTCACCCAAAGAAAATCTTTGTCAGCAGTCTTTTACTTTTGATAAAATAAACTAAACAAGAATTGTTTTTAATCTTGGATGGTTTAACGGACTGACTACAGAATATTTAAATGTGGATAGGTTTCTTTTATAAAGAATTAAAATGCTTTTATGGAGTTTAGTAAATCTAATAAATGCATCAAGAAAAATGCAAAGGCATTTTTGTTAAACCAATGTAACAGAATGGCAAAAATTTTCATTATAGCAATTTATAATGAAGTTCCAATAATTATTTTCATTAAGAATTTGATACTATTTAGGTCTCGGCAATTCACTGAAAGACTCCTTGACTATTAGGTCAGTTGTTATATGGAATGACTAAATGTTTTGTTCATTAGTGCCTTTTGGAATAATTTTTGTTTTATAATGAAAACTT